GGGTGGCGAGGAAGGCAGAGCCAGAGTCTTTTAAGAGCACCAAGCACTTTTCCTTTTGAAGGCCCTCTTATATCACAGTAAATATAATGAAACATAGCCATGTGCCTCATTAAATATGTAATTTACATATAAGTGTGTAAGAGTTGAATTCATTTGAACTACAGTGGGCCAGTTGACCTAATATCACATTTTAAGTACATTTAAGTAAATATTGATTTACATTTCTTTTTTTAACACTATTTTTTAATTTATTTTTTTAATTTTATTTTATTATGTTATGTTAATCACCATATATTACATCATTAGTTTTTGATGTAGTGTTCCATGATTCATTGTTTGCATATAATTTTCCTTTTTGTCTTTTAGAAGCAATATTCCATAGGGAACACCTGGGTGGCTCAGTAGGTTGAGTGTTTGACTCTTGATCTCAGCTCAGGTCATGATCTTAGGGTCATGGGATCGAGCCCCGCCTCAGTCTCCATGCTCAGCCTGCAGTCCGTTTGGGATTCTCTCTCCCTCTCCCTTTGCCCCTCCCCCACTCACACATTCTCTCTCTCTCTCTCTAAATGATAAAATCTTTAAAAAATAAAATAAAAATCAACCAGCTATATCAGGAAAGTGAGATTATAAGATTTTTTTAGTTTCTTTTTTACATATCCGTTTTTTTTTTTCTAAAGATTTTATTTATTTATTAGAGAGAGAATGAGAGATAGAGAGCACGAGAGGGAACAGGGTCAGAGGGAGAAGCAGACTCCCTGCCGAGCAGGGAGCCCGATGCGGGACTCGATCCCGGGACTCCAGGATCATGACCTGAGCTGAAGGCAGTCGCTTAACCAACTGAGCCACCCAGGCGCCCTACATATCCCTTTTTTAAAGAAAATGAAATGAAAGAAACATTATATTAAAAATTAAAGTATTTGCAATGACATGGATGGAATTAGAGGGTATTATGATAAGCAAAATAAGTCAATCAGAGAAAGACAATTATATGATCTCACTCATATGTGGAATTTAAGAAACAAAACAGAGGATCATAGGAAGACGAAATCAGAGAGGGACACAAACCATAAGAGACTCTTGATCATAGAAAACAAACTGAGGTTTCCTGGAGGGGAGTGGGGTGAGGAGATGGGGTAACTGGATGATGGACATTGAGGAGGGCATGTAATGTAATGAGCACTGGGTATTATATAAGACTGATGAATCCCTGACCTCTACCTTTTGAAACCAATAATATATTATATGTTAATTAATTGAATTTAAATTAAAAAATAAAATTAAAATTAAAAAATAATTAAAAAATTAAACTGGAGAGGGAGCCCTCTGGATGAGCTAGCTGGTGCCCTACTTATAGGTGCTTTACTGTAGGGGACCAGTAGAAAGTACTCCTAGCGCTAGCCAGTCATCCAGGGTGACACAGAGAACTTCTGTTGCTTCCCTAAGTTACCACTTGGCCAGAGAGACCCTCCCACCACCAACAAATTATTTTTTAATTTGTTTTGATCTTGGTGGACTCACAAAATAATGGCTTGGTGATATTGCAGTGCTTTTGGAGAAAAAAAAAATGAAACTGGATGTATAAGATAACACCACACAGTGTCTTAGGGTCTGTGCCTGCACAGCATGGGGGTGATCCTAAAAACATCACATTATGCCGACCCAAGACCTGGCTAAAAGGGGCAGGATTAGAGGAAGTTTCCATTCCAGAGGTGACTTTCACCTTGCTATCTGGTCAAGGTAAGGTAAGTCAAGTAATTTTAGCCTAAGCCAGTGTTTTAAAAATAAGAAAGCTCCTGATCAAGGATCTGATTTCTAAGCAGTTATAGAAATGGGACTAAAATGACATTTTATCAACTGTAAATGGCATATAAAACTTTCTAAATATAACATAGCAACTAAGTGTGTAAATTCTAGGGTTAGGACTGGGTTCAGATCCTGCCTCTGCCCCTTATTGGCTTTGCGACCTTCGGCAAATGATTACATGTCACCAGATCTCCATTTTCTCCATTGTGAAATGGGAATAATAATATTCCTTACCTCATAAGGAGAAGACTAAATGAGATGATTTACTAGACTAAAAATATTTAGTCCAATGCCTGGGACATAGTAACTGTTCAATAAATGTTGGCCAGGACCAAGGGTTTCACGTATTTCTCCTGACCTTGTAGGACCCTGGGAGATAGATGTTATAATCCTCCTTTCAGGGAAGACACAACAGTAGAGACTCAGAGAGGTTAAGTAACTCGCAAAGATCACACAGCTAACAAATGACGGAACCCAAATTCCTCCACAAGCCTCCTGACTCCTAAGTTAAGGATGTTTCCCACTAGAGTATAGGTGAGAAATTAAACATTTAACACTTGCTTTAAAATGATACAGTTTCACAGCATTTGTACAACGTTCTTGTCTTCTTTGCAATATTCACCTATTTCTGTGCAGTAAGTCAAGGCATAAAGGATAGCCTCCTTTTAGAGCTGTGGAATTTGGAGGAGTTTAATTTCTTTGAGGATATTTAGGATTTGTGATGATGTATAAAGAATCCATGAATTATACAGTAAAGTATTATTCATATTTGTTGGTTTTTTTTTTTTTTCCCCTGTTACTGGTAAAACCTAATGAATATCTCTGAGAATGAGTCACTCACAGTCAAAAGGCAACGACTCCATATTATTACTTCCTTATTCTGGGCACTAGGTGTCACACTAAGTAAAGTTTTAGAAGTTATTCTTCAAAGTAGGGTGCGGCATTGTCTAAACCTTAGCTGTGAAGAACCATAGCTTTCTCTTTCTGGTAGAATGCAGTAAAGATGTACTTCAACAAAAGAATTCAGGAAAGAGAACTGTTCATCAGAAAATAAGTTGGAGCAAACTTAAATGTGTGCAATTTTTTGTATATCAGTTATACCTCAGTAAAGCTGTGTGTCTGTGTGTGTGTGTGAGAGAGAGAGAGAGAGAGAGGCTGGAGTAGCCGCATAGTATCCTATGTACTAAACAGGCACATCCCATTTATATGAACACAGACATGGTATTTCCTTCCAGAAACAAAGTAACTTTTCTAGAGACAGTTAATGCAGACATACCCCTAATCATTTGTGTTCTGAGATGGCGAGAAGCTGTTTTTCCCTAGGAAAAGAATCAGACGTGGTCCTCACATGAAAGGGGCAAAGAAGGTGAAAGAGATAATGACAATGAGCTTCACTGAACCCTGCATGAAGGATGTGGAATCATCTTTCTTGTATGGCTTTCACAAAGAAGGTGTAGCAGATGCCTCCCAGCCTGCTCCAACTCATTTATTACTTTACTTTAAGCCCTCAGAAATTTCAATGAGAATCATGATTGTGATTTGGATATACAGTATTTCCTTTTGGAAAATGTATGTTTTTAAAATATGGCAAGGAATATGGACTCGGTATGTAAATAAGTTCAATGATATCCTTTAACTTCAATGTACTACTGGAATTCCAGTAAGTTTCCATTGAAATGCTTGGAATTTACCGGAAGCTAGAGAGAATGAATTTCAGCCTTAGTTTTAGCAGTTGCAGGGCATGTTTTTTTCCCAAGTAACTCAATAATAGGTTTGAACTATATCTGATGAGCTGCACATGAATATAGACATATTTCTGTATGAAATTAATGTGGTAAACCTTGTAAATAATATCTCTTAAGTTTCCCTGTTTTCTCAATAGTGTATAACAGGTGATTTCCACTGGATTTAATTAGTCCTCTGTTTGGTAAATATCAGTGCCCTGATTATGTTAAAATCACTCTGGGCGCCTGGGTGGCTCAGTTGTTAAGTGTCTGCCTTCGGCTCAGGTCATGATCCCAGGGTCCTGGGATCGAGCCCCGCATCAGGCTCTCTGCTCCAAGGGAAGCCTGTTTCTCTCCTACTCCCCCTGTTTGTGTTCCCTCTCTCCCTGTGTCTCTCTCTGTCAAATAAATAAATAAAATCTTTTTTTTTTTTAAAAAGGATCACTCTGATAAAGTTACAACTGCTAAAATACTCTTATTTGGGTTTGGGATTCATCCATGTCTTTCTCTTATTCAGGAGATGAATAATTGGTCATTTTGACAGCGCTTTCTAAGAGTAGGTGCTTCTCTTTGGTTCTCAAATCCTGCCATGATTTGGAACTTTTCCCCCACATATTAATATTGCTGCTGTCTTGGGTTTTAACAACCTGACATTGCCTGGGTTCCTAGTGAAATCTTCCCCTTTCTCCCTGCAGACTAAGGGGGAGGTGAGTGCTGAGACAGTGGCACACCAGGCTATTTCTCCTTCAAGAACCCAAACAGCCACTTAGGACTCTCAGTAGACTATTAATTTTTGTGTTCAGTTTGGGAACTTGAGAAAAGCTACAGCTCATCATGGAGATGAGGAGAAAAAAAAAAATTGCTCCAGAATAAAATGTAGACAAGACTATTTCTCTGCCAGGCGGGGGGGGGGGGGTTGTTTGTGTGTGTGGCAGGGGTGCTGGGATGAGGAGGTCAGCTCTGTGTTTACCAAATAGTTCTCGAATATGCTCTGTGCTGGGCTGCAGAAAATGTGGATATGTGGGCCCCGCTTGGATGCGGTAAAGCCAGTGGCCTTCATCCTGACTGTTACTGCCTAGGACAACTGTCAGAGCCGTTGGGTGCCCCTCCTGGTTTTCTCACCGATTGGCCTTTAAATTTTGACCTATCAACCCCAGACCTTGCACTCTCCACCCCGAAAGAAGGACGAACCCTTTGGGAGAACATGATGAGCCTCACCTGATTTCAGTTCAACAAATATGAACTGAGGGTCTGTGACAGGCTAGGCCTGTAAGGAATCCAAAAATGAATGATGCATGCCTGTTTTGAGTTTAAAAAAGAGTGAAGCGGATCCGTCCACGCTGCTAACCACCGCAGTCTCTTACAACCGGGATGGACGCCTACAGCTCACTACAGCTCTGGAACATGAGCTATTGAATTGGCAGACCAGGGGTTTCTATTGTTTTCCTGAACCATACTTTTATTTCCTGACAGGTCATGGATTGACAGCAGTCAAGGAAAAAGCAGGGGCCACCCTGCGGATTCATAGTGTAAATTCCAGCTCTGCTGAAGGGGCCCAACCTGATGCTGAAAATGGAGTCCCTCAGAGTGAGTGATGCATTTATTGGGGGGGCTTTTTGGACTTGGGCCGTATGTGCACAAATGGAAGCTTTCTAAGCTCAGATCAGCAGAATGAACTCTAAGAGGATGTTTTTCTTCCTACCAGCCCATGTGGCCACAGATCAGAGCTCTGGAGAAAGCCCACCCACTTCTCCTGCATCCGGGTCTCGGGGCATGCTGTCAACCATCACCAACGTCGTTCAAAACACAGTGAGTCCTTAGCTGCTTCTCTGTTTTCCCTGTGTCTTCCAGCAACTCCTTTTGATATCTGTAGTTACCAGTGACCCAGATACATTAGAGAAAAGATGGCCTCGCTCATAACTTTCGATTATGGTTTTGTTATGCTTTTTCTCCTCCAGAGTAGGTGTAACCTTGGCACCAAAATAATAAGGGCAAAAGATGTATATTTTATGTTTAAAAGAAAAGAGCTGCTTAGAAGGAATATTTTCAGTCTGATGTAACAGTGTCCTTTCCAACAGCTGCAAGGACAGACCAGCCTCTGGCTGGGGGAAGAGAGAGGGCTCTTTCTTAGAGCTGAGACAGCTGTTTTTCCTAGATGGTATGTGTTTCTTAACCTTCAATTTGAAAATGATAAAACCATTCAGTTTTTTTTTAAAAAAAGATGCTGGTAGGGAATTGGGAACAACATCCCGAGATGTTTCTGAAGTGTTTCCAGATAACTAAGACCAACATTCTTCCCCCATCCCTACCTCCCAAATCCTACTCTCCTAAAATAACCCTAAGTTTATTCCCCCGCCCCAGACCCCTTCCTGCCTCCTAAAGAAGTGTGTTATTGGCAACAACACACCGATGAATAATGAAAAAAGAGGGAGGCCCCCCCCCCAACCGAGATGACACAACTAGCTGGTCTTCAGTGACGAGAAGAAAAGGTTTATTTTCTGCCATGTAAAACCAACCAGCTAGTTTTTCTAGAAATATAGTTGCTATCCAACTTATTCATTCATTCATTAAAAAAAAAAAAAGGTGATCAGCCCTCACTGTGGGGCAGGAGCTATGCTAGATGCTGGACATATGCTGACAAACAAGAGGGCAGAACATTCTGGAAGACAGAGACAACTCGACAGGCAAGTACAAAGCACTGTGGGAAGAAGAGAAGGTGAGGGTATCTTACCCAGACTCTGGGGTCCGGGCATGCCAGAATTAGAAAATGCCAGCTCTTCTCCTGGTGACTTGAGGCCCTGTAGACTAAGTAGGGTGAATGGGAAGCAGCAAATATGTCTGAGGAGTCGGATAGCATCGCAAGTCCAGTATGTCTACAGTGAGGGGTGGGTAGGATCGGGCATGGGGAGGAACTCCTTCAGCAGCCGTGGTTATGAGACTTGAGTTCCTCGTCTCCCTGAGACAATGCAGGGCACTCTGAGTTTGTCTTCAGCGCCCCCATTTCTGGTCTGTGTTCGCTTCTACCTTCTGATACTTTCTTTTCCAAAGTTCCAGATGCTCCCACCAGGTCCACCCTTCATCGAAGTCCTTGTATCCTTCCTTCTCCCACGTGATGTTTACCAAAGTAACCCCTCATAGGGTGTTAAAAGAAAATAAACCATAGTAGGCAAAAATATACATTGCCGATATCCCCTAGTCCTTCCACATTATGTGTGTGTTAAATTTGTTTTATAGTGTGACTGTTGATTGGCTCCCAAATCTGAAAACAAAGTCTAAATGTCCAAGATGGAAATGACGACTAAAGTATATTCAGGGAAGTCTAATATTGCTAATGAAGCAATAATTAAGAAGATTAGAAAATGTATATAGGCAATAATATAATACTAAAATATAATGTATATAAATTCATGTAAGGTGGAAAAAACACAGATGTATGCATAGTGTAATTGCAGTTGTGGAGTGGGAGTGTTTGTATAGAAGTTGCAAAGAAATGTAAGCAGTTCTATTTATATGAACAGTTTATGTGAGTAAAGCTTGGTTGTTTTAATCTTTCTCTTTTAAGGAAAACAATGGCTGACAAGAGGATTTGCAGAAGGGTAACTGCATGATCGAACAGTTTCTAAAGCCAGTGGTCTATGGAAATCAACCTGTCTTATTTCATGAATATACTAATTATAGGCGGTTATTAGTAGTTTCTGAAAGTATGCAAGAGCCATCTGACACAGCCTGGGGGTCCTACACTCCAAGGCTCTAGATTAAAGAATGCACTAAATTGGCAAGAGTATTTGACATCTTAATAGACTGCTCCACATAATTCTGTTACTTGGGTTAACATTCTTTCAAACAAAAACAGTAGTGGGATCACCGATTAATTTTATGTCTTAGATACATATCTTTTCCTACACACAGAACCAGCAAAATTCGTCCCAAATATGCTTTGGTTTTTCCTAAGCACCCTTTTTAAATAATATCATCTGTCCTACAAATTATATGACATATGCCCTTCCAAGGAAAAGAAAATAGGATGAAGTGGATGTTAAGAAGACAGCTAATGAGAAAAAATTGTGACTTTTATTGATTTTAATATCTGAAAATGGTACCATCTAGGAGTTGCTGACTGCTGTGGAAAAGCAAAACGCAAAAACTAATCTCATGCAATTATTTCATTGGCAGGGTAAAAGTGTCTTAACGGGTGGTCTTGATGCTCTGGAATTCATCGGCAAGAAAACCATGAATGTCCTTGCGGAGAGTGACCCAGGCTTTAAGCGGACCAAGACACTCATGGAGAGAACCGTTTCCTTATCACAGGTGGGATTATACACGTTTGCAATGTTTTCTTTCAGTCTGTGAAGTAAATGCATTTTTATGTATCTTTTTTAATAGGTATTTTCAAGCACGTGACTTAAATTCAAATGACATAAGATTAGTAGAGAATGAAAATTGAGTTTCTAATGCACCTCTTTCCCCAGCCACTTGGTTTCTCATGGGAGACAAACACCGTTAACAGCTTCTTGTGGATATTCTCAGAATTATCATATAGCTACACATACGGATACATACATGGAGATACATATATACTTTCTCAGACCACTGGTAGTATACCCACCACACTCTTTTGTACCTTGCTTTATTCACTTAATAATTTCTTGAAGATGATTACATTTTTGCCATTTGTCTTAGTCCACGCAAGCTGCTATAACCGAATACTATAGACTGGGCGTCTTACAAGCAACAAACACTGATTTCTCATAGCGCTGGAGGCAGGGAAGCCCAAAATCAAAGGTGCTGGCAGATTCGGTGTCTGGTGGTGGCCCATTCCTGGTTCGTAGACAGCTGTCTTCTTGCTGTGTCCTCACATAGTGGAAGAGGGAAGGAGCTCTGGGGGCTTTCTTTTATAAGGACACTAATCCCATTCATGAGGGCTCCACCCTTGACCTTATGCCCTTCCAAAGGCCCCACCTCCAAATACCATCACACCAGGGACTAGGTCTCAACATGTGAATTTTGGGGGTACACAAGTGTTCAGTTTATAACACTATGGTACGTATTCCAGCTCTACCACGTTCTAGCCGTATGACCTTGAACAGGTTACTTAACCCCTCTATGCCCTGGTTTACTCCTCTGTGCTGGGTATAACATCAGTACCTACCAATAGCTTTGATGTAAGGATTAAATGAGTTAGCATAGTACCCGGCTCTTAGCAAACACTCAGGAATGCCGGTTATCGTTGTTATTATTCTGTGTCCATATAATAGGTGGAAATGGTATTTCATTTGAATTTTAATTTACGGTGCTCTTACTATGGGCAAGGATGGGCTTCTCTTCTCACACTTCCAGTTTTAAAGTTTCCCAACCCTCCTTGAGAAATACGATATGAAGAATTGAATCTGTGGGCCACCTGGTAGAGCTCAGTTGGTAGAACATGCGACTCTTGATCTCGGGGTCATGAGTTCAAGCCCTCCATCGAGCATAGAGCTTACTTTAAAAAAAAAAAAAAGAATTTAATCTGTGTTTTGCTTACTTATAGTAGTCAGGTAAATTAAAAATACTATTTATCTTATTTTCCAAGTATAGAACGCTAATACTGAACTTGCTCTCTTAGATGGCACGTGCCCAATTCATGCACCGCAGTGCAAGCTGGCCCCGTGTCCCCTTCCTCCCTCACGGTCAGATATACCGGGTCTGTCTTTGCCCTCCTGAAATCAGGAGCGGCAGATACAGCCCCAGGTTTTGTAAATTTCGCCGGCAGGACAAACATAGCTTCTCACAGCTCAGTACTAGGAAGCCACCGAGGAACTATTACTGACACCATGTGAGTGGCAGTTCCTGAAAAGCTTTGGTTTTAAGCTATTTCCCCTTGTCTCTTCCAGAGTAACCCTCATATAACCACTCTGCTATTATAGCTCGGGTCGGAACTTGGCAGGATCACCTAAACTACCACCCTACTGATCTTTAAAAAGAAAATAGAGGGACACCTGGGTGGTTCAGTCAGTGAAGCATCTGCCATCAACTCAGGTCATGATCTCAGGGTCCTGGGATCAAGCCCCCGTGTCTGGCTTCTTCCTCTGCCTCTGCACCCCCAACTTGTGCTCTCTCTCTCTCACAAATAAATAAAATCTTTTTTAAAAAATCATTAAAAAAAGAAAATAGATTTATATTAATCAGGTAATTAATGCTAGATGTTGCAAAACAAAAGCAACACAGAAAAACCAACCCTCAAGGATCAGTGTGGCTAAGAACAGAAAAAAGTCTATCTTTTGCTCCTGTGATGTAAGCGTTCCTGTTCAGGGACTCTCCAGGTGGCTCTTTTCTGAGCCCGTATCCCGTGACTCTGCCGTCCTAAAATTCTTTACTTCTAGCCTCGTAGAGAGGGGAAGGTGAGATGGGGAGGACTAGGTGGGACAACTTAGAACTTTACCCTCATTCCTTTGGCCAAAATTTATCACACCTATCTATTACTTATCTGCCTAATTCAACTCAGGGGGCTGAGAAATATAGTTTAGCCATGTGTCTAGGAGGAAAAGGATATTTGGTGAGCATGTAGGAATATTTTTGCCATGAGATTTCATATGTCTATAGAATTTCTAGACACATATATTTATACACATATATACATATATTGCATGTGTGTACATACAGGCATTCATATGTATACATATGTAAGTATCTATGTATATATATAAATTTCATTCTGGTTAGGAAACTGATAATGTGGGGAAAATGGGACCAAGTACAGAAACTGGCTAATTCTACTCTTGTCTGAAATTTACACACCTCTAAAACGGAGAATTGGATCTGGTTAGGTTCCCAGATGACTGTAGGTTTGGGGCCACCTTCACAATTTTTATCAGCCTACTGCTAAAAAGTAAGGAGGAATGCTCATGGAAATATGTCACCTGAGAATCCACACTAGCCATCTGTAGTGTTTATTCTAATTACACATCAGGAAAGTGCAATGAGTATGGTACCCGACATTTGGGGGCACACTTGAGCACAGCACCTCTAATTCACATGGATCACCACAACACTACTGACTAACTTCCTGCCACACAGTAACTTTTCATTCATTCATTCATTCATTCATTCATTCATTCCACAGACGCATTTTGAATGTCCACTATGTGCCAGGCACTCTTCCAAGCACTTGAGATACATCAGTAGCCAAAATGGATAAAAATCCCTGCCCTTAAGGAGTTTCATTACAGTGAGGAGAGATAAACAAACCATTAACATTATCTAGTATTTTAAAAGATGATTGAGTGCTGTGGGGGAAAAAGAGCAGGAAGAAGGTATGTAGGAGTGAGGGGCAGGTTAGGTATTAAGTTAGATTGTTGGGGGGGTGGCCTCATGGGGATGATGACATTTGAGCAAATAATTTAAGGAGATGAGGGGCTTGACCATGCTGAAATCTGAGTGAAGCACATTCCATGCAGAAAGAGCAGCTTGTGCAAAGGCCCTGGGGCAGGAGTGTCTAGTGTGGACAAAGAACAAGGATGCTACATGGTGGGAAAGGAGTGAGCCGGGAGGAGAACTGTTGCAGATGAGGCTAGATTACTAATGCGGAGCAGGTCATGGCAGATCCTGGAGGGCATCTGTAGAGACTTCAGGTTGTACTGTTAGTGAAATGGGGAAAACGTTACAGCATTTCGAAAAGAGGAGTGACAAGATCTGCCTGTAACAGGAGCACTCTAGTCACTGTGTTGAAAACAGACTGGGGATGGGGAGGGCTGAGGGCAGGGAGACCAGGTAGAGTGTGTACCAGTGCACACTGTCCCAGGAACAGAGGCCAAAATGGCCTTAACATGCGAGGATTTTATTAGGGGAAATGCTGAGCGAGAAAGTGGAGGCGGGAGGCAAGACAGCTGGGAGGGCTGTCAGACCAAGATGCACGTCTGACCCCAGGGATCGGGAGAGGGAGGAAGATGGGGTGAAAGCATCCTAGGCTGCTGTGTCCTCTGAGGAAAGGCGGGCAGAGCCCTGGGACAGTCCTTCAGCTGATCTCTCGGGACAGGTCTCCCCAGTGTCCCTGCTGCACCGGTGATTCATCACGGGAGGCGTGGATTGCAAAGTACAGCTTCCAGGGCCCTTGGTCACTGATGCTGCAACTCTCACTGCCTCCTCAGGGGGCAAGTGCTGTTGCCTAAGCAGGAGGACGTGGGGGCTCAGTGTGGAGCCCTGGAAGGGGGCGGTGAATGCTGATTCCAGGGATATTCTGAAGGTCAACCCAGACTTCCTGATGGAGGGCACGTGGGGTGTGAGATAGGGAGGCAGCAAGAGCGACTCCACGGGTGTTGGCATGAACAGCTCAAAGGATGAAGCTGCTGTCCATTGACATAGCGACGTCTGTTGGGTTTTTCCTAATCCACACTAACTACAGAAGCCCAAAATGTTCCTACACACACTCCCTGAACTTCTCCCGTGTTCTATCCCCGCAGCACGGGGTGGTTTCCCGACCCACAGACGCAAGTCTCCAGAGCTACCCTTCTGTCGGGAAGAAGACTCCCACGCCACAACCACTCATTGCTGTTTCAAACCATCTCCTTTCCCTTTCCAGGTGGAAAATAGACCGACATCCTCCGGGAAGCCAGTTCTTCTTTAAGCAACTTTAATTTCTCTCTATCTTCTGAGTGAATCCAAATCACTCCAGAGCGACCTGCCCCATGCCCCCTTCGTTTCATCCCTTCCCCTCTGTTCCAAAGCACAAAGTTAGAGAAAGAAGTGCCTCTCGGGAAAGGAAGCAATTTTGGTGTCACTTGGTTGTTTTGTTTTACCACCGCGGAGCCAGGAAGATAAGTGAGAATAGTTGGGTTTTATTGTAAGTGTTAAAAAATCCCCAGGGATCATTTGATGAAGTTGTTTTGAAAACTTTAAAATTCAGACCTCGTGCATATGTAGTCTTAAAGACAGACAGAGGGGAGCATTCTGTTGGAAGCCCAGTGAGTTTTTGGCTAATGGCCTCAAGAACCCAGAAGGAGAAGGAGCTTGACTGTTTGATAAAAACCACAGTCGTTCTTCCATGATCTTTCCCTTGTGAACTTGTGGCAGCCACTGTGTTTATGGTGCTTTCCGGAGATACTAAAGAACCCTATAAACATAATGCCCAGGAAACTTAATAAGGAATCAAATAAAAGATGCTTAGAATCACAGAAAGCAAGTGCAGGAAATTGGGAGTGACTGAGGCACTCGTGTTCCTTTTCTCTTTACGTAAGCAACAAAAAATAACTGGAGAAAAATGATCAACATGGAGAGGAGCTCCATTCCCAGTCATACTTCTCAGGAATTGATCAGCTGATACTCATATTTATACTGAGTATCTGACAAGGAATGCATTATGAGTTTATATTGTATGAATTTTTTTTCATCGAAGATGTTTAAACCACACACATAAAATTTTTAAAGTAACGTAACTCCGATCAAAGCAGACCAACTTGTGGCTACTCTGAGGTCTGGCTGGGTGCAGAAGTTGCAATGAACCCTATCACAACAGGTTACACTTTCCCGGTGTACGTCAATTTGCTCACTATAGACAATTTGGGTGTTTCGGAAAATAAGAAAATTAATCACACACACGGAAAACACTTCAGCAGAAACCACTGTTCGTTCAGCTTCTGTTTTGCTTCTTTCCAATCCTCTTGCCAGGGGTAGAATTTTTGCTTTGTTGTGTACATAGTGAACATGTAAGATTCGAAGGGTAATATTATGTAAAAACTGTCAGTAGAATCAATGAAAGAATCATTTTGTTAGAAATGCCCAAGTGACACAAAGACAAAGCTAGTCCTCATCTCTCCCTACATCATGCGGAGGAAATGAGACTTTCAAGCCCACATCCAGGGCACAAACATTGTGTGTTTCTGCAGATGTTAAGGGAAGCCAAGGAGAAAGAGAAGGAGAGACTGGCCCAGCAGCTGACGGCCAAGAGGACTGCCCACTATGGGATGCTGTTTGACGAGTATCAAGGTTTGTCGCACCTGGAAGCTCTGGAAATTCTATCCAACGAAAGCGAAAGCAAGGTACGTCTGCCCTGGTCGCTTAAAATACCACGGTCACTAATGTGTTTTCTTACACACGAAAGAAACTGCAAAGTCTGCCATTAAAGTATCTCATTTTTAGGGCCTCATTAGTATTGGGCTAAGGTCACAAATATTCTACAGCCTGATGACCTCCTCGTGTGCCATCTTACTTCCTCTCTGTCCTGTGCTAAGCTACTACCCTGCCCCAGCCCCAAGAGGGCCAGCAAAACAACAGTTCTCACTGCCCCCAGCTCATGGGACAGAAGGCTGCTCAGAAACTTGGCTGTCAGGCTCCTGGTCCTGTGCCTCCCTTTGGCGATGTAGCACCCAGACCAGGGGTGCCCTACCAGGCCGGGCTGCCACTTCCACCCTGTGAAAACAAAGCAGCTGAGGTTTCTTCCAGACTGCAGGGTTTAAATATGGTTTTAGGGGTTATATAGTGGTTTATTCACCCATTTGTTAAAATGCCTGGGCCACCAAAGGCAGGATCATCATACGGAGAGTTAAAGTTCTATTTGAGAATGTTCCTGAACAGAAACCTGGGAACTACCTGACAGCCCCGCACATTCGCATTCCCCCACTGGGATCTCAAGAAGCAAAACAGAAATAGCAGACATCAGCAGGGTTTGGAGATTTTTTTTTTTTTTTTAAAGGATCTATGTGGGAGGGAGGGTTATTGAGCCAATACTCATATGGCCCTTTTATAGTCACTCTTCTAAGCAGTTTAAACCTATTGATTCATTTAATTGTACATACAGCTCTTTCGTGTGAAAGTCAGGCTGACTGTACTCCGGGGTGTATTTCCGGTGGAGCCCACAGGGCAGCACCCTGGGAACCTCCTGGGAGAGGCTCTGGGTCATCTCAGTAACACTGGCTGGAGAGAAGCAGGCCCTCCGATGCGAAGAGGAGGTTGGAAGCGAGCTTTAGAATGGAGAAGTGATTCTTGACTCTCTCTCGGCCACATCCTCTAAGTTAGGACTCTGAGGGGGCTGAGACATTCCTGATGCCCACCTAGATGGGGAAAAATGGCCTCTGCTGGGTAACAGGCCACCAAGAACCAAACAGGTTGGAAATGCCCCTCCCTCCAGGTGATCGAGTTACATGTTACTATCTGTATTTATTTCCTCTTGTTGTTCTCCATGAGCCATCACGGAGAGTCTTCTGGTGAAACTGTGAAAGCGTGATTTTTTAAAAAAAGCAAAATCATGCCTCATATACAGATACAAAATGAACATGAATTAAAGAATTTATTTAACCCCCTTATTACATGAAGGAACCAAGCAAATGTTGTAACTGGTTCGAGGGAAAAAGCCAACCCCCACATTTGTACGGAGTAAAGCAATTTTGAAATGAACGTGCAAATGGGCATAAACCTGTTTCTCCCACAGGAGGGGAGGTTGGCCCTCTGCTAGACAGAATCTATTCACCTGTCTATAGACAAGAATTATTTTGCACTGTTATCAGCGAGCTACAATCTAAAGAGCTGTGAAATTGCTCCCGTAGACTCAGAATCAGATAATCTGGTAATGTATGCTCTAGAAAATGCAGTTTTCCATGGCAGTACCAATTGTTCCCATAAAAGCTGGGTTTTGAATCAGCCATTACGTGATCAAATACCACTCAGTAGCTGTATGATTTTGGACCCATCTCACTTCAATCTCCTTATCTATGAAATGGGAATAATAATAATAAAACCTACCTCGTAGGAGTATTAAAAGAATTAAACGAGATAATCCATGTGAAGCCAGTTGCAGCTCGCTTAATACATAATAAGTACTCAATAAATGTTAGCTGCCTTTTTATACATGTATTTATATGCATATATGTCGACATTTTATTTTTACATGTATTTTTATGCTATATGTGAGTGTTATTATTAAAAACATGACAGGGATGCTTGACCCTTAAGGTTATCATGGTGTAGAGAGAGTCTACTCTGGTGGGTTTCATTGCAGGTCTCAGCTGTGAGAGTCCCAGGTCCCTAGAAAAGAGCCCCAAAGGACCGATGTTGCTAGGAAGGGGATTTGGTCCCTGGAGGAAATGCAAACATTTTCCTCTGTTTGCACACTGCTCCTATAAGCTCTGCTTTCTCCCTGCCCCCCCTGCCCCGCCTCGCCTAGAGATTTTTTTTTTTTAAGATTTTATTTATTTACATGACAGAGAAAGACACAGCGAGAGAGGGAACACAAGCAGGGGGAGTGGGAGAGGGAGAAGCAGGCTTTCCGCCGAGCAGGGAGCCTGATGGGGGGCTCGATCCCAGGACCCTGGGATCATGACCTGAGCCAAAGGCAGAAGCTTAACGACTGAGCCACCCAGGTGCGCCGTCCCTCCCCCCCCCACCCCCGCCCCGCCTAGAGATTTTTATAGTAGTATTCAGGGTAAGAAATGCAGAATGTTTTCATGGATTAGTATCGATAGTTACTGGGTGCTGTAATAAACAAGTCCTAAAAACATATGGGTCAAAATCAGTAGGAGTTGTCCTCATTTGTATAATAGTCCAAGATGGGAGTGCCTGGTCATCAGGCAGCTTTCCTGCTTTAGGGATTCAGCGGCCAGACTCCGTCCATCTTAGGGCTCCACTAGACCCATCCTGATGTTCACAGGCCTCTGGCAAGAATACAAATGTCAGATTTAGCAAATGAAAACACAGGATGACAAGTGAAACTTCAACTTTTGATAAACAATGGATACTTTTTTTAGTATAAATATGTCCTGTGCAATATTTGGGACATACCCTCATACTAAGAAAATATTATTTATTTAGAATTCAAATTTAACTAGACCTCGTATACATACCAAATACTTAAAAGTTAAAGGACCTTTGGGGCGCCTGGGTGGCTCAGTCAGTTAAGCGTCTGCCTTCGACTCAGGTCGTGATCCCGGGGTCCTGCGATCGAGCCCCATGTTGGGCTCCCAGCTCAGCGGGAAGCCTGCTCCTCCCTCTCCCACTCCCCCTGCTTGTGCTCATGTGCTGTCAAATAAAGAAAATCTCAAAAAAAAAAAGTTAAAGGACTTTTGAAACAAACTGTTAAATATATTCTGTCATCCTACCTCAACAAACATACTTTCATAACAACTTGGAAAACCAGGTTCCCATTCAGAATTCTCAACTCCCTCCCGGCTCCCACCACCCCCCTGCCTGCTCTCATCCCTTTATTTCCAGCTGTCTCTCCCTTCAAGAAGCTTTCTGTGCACATGTGAGCGTGCCCTGGTTCAAGCTGTACCTGCTGCCCTCCAAACAGCTAAGAGGTGGATGGTCCCAGCACAAGGAGCACAGCCTGGGAAAAGATCCATACAGGCTGTGGAAGGGAAACTTTAGTAACTTTAGTACCTAGAGAGTGGTCTGGAAGGGGGAGTGTGGGCTCTGTGTGGGCACACCCCTTTGGCCCTGTGGACTCCCCTGGGTCTGAGTATTGGCTGTCACCATCCTCTAGGGCCTCCTTGTCGTCTTTATGCTACCAGCATAAGGACAGTGTAGAGTGTACACTCCCATCTTTAAAAAAATACTTATTTTTAGAGAGAAAGAGCATGAGCAGGAAGGGCAGAGGGAGAGGAAGTGAGAACCCCAAGCAGGCTCCCCACCCACGGAGCCTGTCGTGGGGCTCGATCTCACGACCCTGAGATCATGACCTAAGCCAAAACCAAGAATCAGATGCCCAACCGATGCACCACCCAGGTGCCCCCACTCCCATTTTTTAAGAGCTTTGACCCAGAAATGATACACATCACCTCTGTTGACATTTCATTGGCTAAAACTTTGACACACTGCACAGAAATATAAGGAATTACTATCATGACTATTCTATTAGATTGATTCTAGGATGGCAACAGGCATGGCGACATGGTATACTATAAATCTTAAGAAAAAAACCTGATAATTTTTATTGCTATTATACTCAATAGCTAACAAAAACAGTAAACAAGAATCTTCAAAATGGCACCCCATACTTCCTTTCAGGACAAAGATTGACAAGGCAGACTGTCTACCCTTGTGTTTCCAACAACACTTTGCACAGTGCCAAGCATATAGTCAGCATTCCATGAATATTTATAGAGTGCATGATTATTTATTACTAGATTGAAGTAAAGATTCATTGCTCATCACCTTGGCATAATGGAAAGAACTAGGAGGAAGCAAAAGCATGCTTTATACAAAGCATAAAACCCCAGTGCCTTCCCTCCCAGAGGCTGGCTACCCTCCAGGAGCCATGGGGAAACCATAATGTCTCACACGTGTGTATACGTTTTCACTCGTGTTGTGCTCAAGCCCATGGATTCAATAATTACCTTTTAATTTTACTCTTAGAAAACAGCTGTTTAGAAGATATATCTAAAGTGTAGGAATCTGCTGTGGGTCTATCTAGGACCCTGAGGCCTAGTCATGAGTGTATGAGCTGAAAAAAGGCTCTGAAAAGGTTAGAGCAAAAAGGCGTGCTGGCAGCCATCATGCAGGGTGCATTTCCTTCCACCTGCTGAACTCTCTAGCTAATGAGTTTTGTGTTGATGACTTCCTGCTGAGCTTCTCCCCAGCCTCCTTGCCGATTGCATTATGCCCTGGTGATACGCATTATGATTTTTAGGAAAATGGTGCCCTGGCATCCCTGATGCTCTCTCTGACTCTCGCTTACCCTGGCATGTGAATCTACTACCATAATGAATATTAAAACACATTCATTCCAAAGGCATTGTGGCGCTTCTACGGGCTTTCCCTCCAGAGCAAGTGTTTGACCTGCAGACTGAAAACATGAAAACCTTACTACTTTATATCCTTACTTCATTTTTTTTTTCCAGAAAAGAAACCATTCGCTCATTTATTTAACAATAGTGATTGAGTAGCTTCCATTATGTCGCACTCTACTTTCGGCCTATATTATTTTTTTTTCTTTTCTTTTTTTTTAAAGATTTTATTTATTTATTTGACAGAGAGAGAATTAGCGAGAGCAGGAACACAAGCAGGGGGAGTGGGAGAGGGAGAAGCAGGCTTCCCGCGGAGCAGGGAGCCCGATGTGGGGCTCGATCCCAGGACCCTGGGATCATGACCTGAGCCGAAGGCAGACGCCCAACGACTGAGCCACCCAGGTGGCCCGTCTCTTTCTTTTTTTAATTCAATTAGCCAACCTATAGTACATCATTAGTTTCAGATGTAGAGGTCAGTAATTCATCAGTTGCGCATAACACCCAGTGCTCATCACATCACGTGCCCTCCTTCGTGCCTGTCACCCAGTTACCCCATCCCCCCACCCACCTCCTCCCTACTTCATTTTTTACATGGTTCTCCATGCACTTCGGCCATTTTGGAAATTCAAATCAGTCTTCAGATTTGCAGAGGATGACTGGCCATGTGTGCAGGTAATTTTCAAGTGTTTACAGAGGACAGTTTCAAAAGAGGGGCTCTGAAGACAATGAGCAGGGAGGATATCAGTTCAAGCATCATCCTCTGTGAACTCTCCCCGCCCACCCTCTTGCCTCCCTAAGGGGGACTGAAGTTCCCTCTCTGGTGCCCCACTGCCACTCTATTCACACCTGTCATGGCTGTTAGCCATCAACCTGGGCCTCCCTCCTCTAGCCTGCAAGATCTCTGAGAAAAACGCATCTCATGTGTTTTTGTAACCCTGGTTCAATAACCCACATCTAGCAAGTATATATGTATATCTGTATGTGTAAAACATTTCTTTATGGGCTTATGTGTATATGTATCATATATAATATTCTTATATATGTTAACATACATAATATAAATGTAATTTCTTGACCTTCACTACACTTTTTTTAAGTTTATTTTTTTAAATAATCTCTACACCCACCATGGGGCTCGAACTTACAACCCCGAGATCGAGATCTCACGTTCTTCTGCCTGAGCTGGCCAGGTGCCCCTACAAGTACTTTTAAGTATATTATTTAATTGAACCCTCAAAATAACCTTACACGGTAGATGCTGTTCGCCTCATTTTCCCAGGGGCGCACACTTCATCAGTGAGGGGCTCATAGAATTCAGAGTTGACAGCACCTGTGTTTTTGCCCACAAGGCTAGAAGGGCTACCGCTACGACTTAGCTTCTGCTGTTTGCACCTGTGTAGTTACTTCAACCTTTGCTGTTTCATTTACCTCACAAAGGATCACAATGAAGTGTGGGTCTCACTTCAGAATTTAAAAAACTGAGGCCCAGGGTGCCTGGGTGGCTCAGATGGTTAAGCGTCTGCCTTCGGCTCAGGTCATGATCCC